CATCCTGTGTCCCCAGTGTCCCCATGGCCCCAGTGTCCCCATTCTACCATCCCAGTGTCCCCAGTGTCCCCATTCCCACCATCCCTGTGTCCCCAGTGTCCCCATGGCCTTGGTGTCCCCGTCCCCACCATCCTGTGTTCCCAATGTCCCCATGGCCCCAGTGTCCCTGTGTCCCCAGTGTCCCTGTGACCCCGGTGTCCCTATTCCCACCATCCCTGTGTCCCCAGTGTCCCCATGGCCTTGGTGTCCCCGTCCCCACCATCCCTGTGTCCCCACTCTTGGTGTCCTCCTGTCCCCATCCCTGTCCCGCTCTCAGTGTCCCCATCCCCACTCAGGGTGTCCCTGTCCCCACTCTTGGCATCCCTGTCCCTGTCCCTGTCCCCATTGGTGATGTCTCCCTGTCCCCAGGTGACCCTGCAGCCGCTGTCCGTCTGTCCACGCGGCTGCTGGCGCTGGGGGGGGACGTGGGGCTGTCCCTGTCCCTGTCCCCGTCCCTGTCCCCATGGGTGATGTCCCTCTGTCCCCAGGTGACCCTGCAGCCGCTGTCCGTCTGTCCACGCGGCTGCTGGCTCTGGGGGGGGCTGTGGGGCTGTCCCTGTCCCCATGGGTGATGTCCCTGTCCCTGTCCCCATTGGTGGTGTCCCCCTGTCCCCAGGTGACCCTGCAGCCGCTGTCCGTCTGTCCACGCGGCTGCTGGCTCTGGGGGGGGATGTGGGGCTGTCCCTGTCCCTGTCCCCATGGGTGATGTCCCTGTCCCTGTCCCTGTCCCCACTCAGGGTGTCCCTGTCCCCATCCCTGTCCCCATGGGTGGTGTCCCCCTGTCCCCAGCTGACCCCGCAGCTGCTGTCCGTCTGTCCACGCGGCTGCTGGCGCTGGGGGGGGACGTGGGGCTGTCCCTGTCCCTGTCCCCATGGGTGTGTCCCTATCCCCATCCCTGTCCCCATGGGTGATGTCCCTGTCCCCATTGGTGATGTCCCCCTGTCCCCAGGTGACCCTGCAGCCGCTGTCCGTCTGTCCACGCGGCTGCTGGCTCTGGGGGGGGACGTGGGGCTGTCCCTGTCCCCACTCAGGGTGTCCCCCTCGTGTCCCCAGGTGACCCTGCAGCTGCTGTCCGTCTGTCCACGCGGCTGCTGGCTCTGGGGGGGGACGTGGGGCTGTCCCTGTCCCTGTCCCTGTCCCTGTCCCCATGGGTGTGTCCCCCTCGTGTCCCCAGGTGACCCTGCAGCCGCTGTCCGTCTGTCCACACGGCTGCTGGCTCTGGGGGGGGACGTGGGGCTGTCCCTGTCCCCATGGGTGGTGTCCCTGTCCCCACTCAGGGTGTCCCCTGTCCCCAGGTGACCCTGCAGCCGCTGTCCGTCTGTCCACGCGGCTGCTGGCTCTGCGGGGGGACGTGGGGCTGTCCCTGTCCCCATGGGTGGTGTCCCTGTCCCCACTCAGGGTGTCCCCCTGTCCCCAGGTGACCCTGCAGCCGCTGTCCGTCTGTCCACGCGGCTGCTGGCTCTGCGGGGGGACGTGGGGCTGTCCCTGTCCCCATCCCTGTCCCCATGGGTGCTGTCCCTGTCCCTGTCCCTGTCCCTGTCCCTGTCCCTGTCCCTGTCCCTGTCCCTGTCCCCACTCAGGGTGTCCCCCTCGTGTCCCCAGGTGACCCTGCAGCCGCTGTCCGTCTGTCCACGCGGCTGCTGGCTCTGGGGGGGGACGTGGGGCTGTCCTCGTCCCTGTCCCTTTCCCCATGGGTGTGTCCCTATCCCCATCCCTGTCCCCATGGGTGATGTCCCTGTCCCTGTCCCTGTCCCCATGGGTGATGTCCCCCTGTCCCCAGGTGACCCCGCAGCCGCTGTCCGTCTGTCCACGTGGCTGCTGGGACTGGGGGGGGCTGTGGGGTTGTCCCTGTACCCATGGGTGTGTCCCTGTCCCTGTCCCCACTCAGGGTGTCCCCCTCGTGTCCCCAGGTGACCCCGTGGCCGCTGTCCGTCTGTCCACGCGGCTGCTGGCCCTGGGGGGGACGTGGGGCTGTCCCTGTCCCGATGGGTGATGTCCCCCTGTCCCCAGGTGACCCTGCAGCTGCTGTCCGTCTGTCCACGCGGCTGCTGGCGCTGGGGGGGGACGTGGGGCTGTCCCTGTCCCTGTCCCTGTCCCTGTCCCCATGGGTGCTGTCCCTGTCCCCATGGGTGATGTCCCCCTCTGTCCCCAGGTGACCCTGCAGCCGCTGTCCGTCTGTCCACGCGGCTGCTGGCTCTGGGGGGGGACGTGGGGCTGACCCTGTCCCTGTCCCTGTCCCCATGGGTGGTGTCCCTGTCCCTGTCCCTGTCCCCATGGGTGATGTCCCCTGTCCCCAGGTGACCCTGCAGCCGCTGTCCGTCTGTCCACGCGGCTGCTGGCTCTGGGGGGGGACGTGGGGCTGTCCCTGTCCCTGTCCCTGTCCCCATGGGTGTGTCCCTGTCCCCATGGGTGATGTCCCTCTGTCCCCAGGTGACCCCACGGCTCTCTGGCTCTGGGGGGGACGTGGGGCTGTCCCTGTCCCCATGGGTGGTGTCCCTGTCCCTGTTCCTGTCCCTGTCCCTGTCCCCATGGGTGATGTCCCTCTGTCCCCAGGTGACCCTGCAGCTGCTGTCCGTCTGTCCACGCGGCTGCTGGCGCTGGGGGACGTGGGGCTGTCCCTGTCCCCATGGGTGCTGTCCCTGTCCCCATGGGTGATGTCCCCTGTCCCCAGGTGACCCTGCAGCTGCTGTCCGTCTGTCCACGCGGCTGCTGGCTCTGGGGGGGGACGTGGGGCTGTCCCTGTCCCCACTCAGGGTGTCCCTGTCCCTGTCCCCACTCAGGGTGTCCCCCTGTCCCCAGGTGACCCTGCAGCCGCTGTCCGTCTGTCCACGCGGCTGCTGGCTCTGGGGGACGTGGGGCTGTCCCTGTCCCCCATGGGTGTGTCCTGTCCCTGTCCCTGTCCCTGTCCCCATGGGTGATGTCCCTGTCCCCATGGGTGATGTCCCCCTGTCCCCAGGTGACCCTGCAGCCGCTGTCCGTCTGTCCACGCGGCTGCTGGCTCTGGGGGATGTGGGCTGTCCCCTGTCCCCACTCAGGGTGTCCCCCTCGTGTCCCCCAGGTGACCCTGCAGCTGCTGTCCGTCTGTCCACGCGGCTGCTGGCTCTGGGGGGGGACGTGGGGCTGTCCCTGTCCCTGTCCCTGTCCCTGTCCCCATGGGTGTGTCCCTCGTGTCCCCTAGGTGACCCTGCAGCTGCTGTCCGTCTGTCCACACGGCTGCTGGCTCTGAGGGGACGTGGGCTGTCCCTGTCCCCATGGGTGGTGTCCCTGTCCCCACTCAGGGTGTCCCCCTGTCCCCAGGTGACCCTGCAGCCGCTGTCCGTCTGTCCACGCGGCTGCTGGCTCTGCAGGGGCGACGGGGCTGTCCCTGTCCCCATGGGTGGTGTCCCTGTCCCCACTCAGGGTGTCCCCCTGTCCCCAGGTGACCCTGCAGCCGCTGTCCGTCTGTCCACGCGGCTGCTGGCTCTGCGGGGGGACGTGGGGCTGTCCCTGTCCCCATCCCTGTCCCCATGGGTGCTGTCCCTGTCCCTGTCCCTGTCCCTGTCCCTGTCCCTGTCCCTGTCCCTGTCCCTGTCCCCACTCAGGGTGTCCCCCTCGTGTCCCCAGGTGACCCTGCAGCCGCTGTCCGTCTGTCCACACGGCTGCTGGCTCTGGGGGGGGACGTGGGGCTGTCCTCGTCCCTGTCCCTTTCCCCATGGGTGTGTCCCTATCCCCATCCCTGTCCCCATGGGTGATGTCCCTGTCCCTGTCCCTGTCCCCATGGGTGATGTCCCCCTGTCCCCAGGTGACCCCGCAGCCGCTGTCCGTCTGTCCACGTGGCTGCTGGGACTGGGGGGCTGTGAGGTTGTCCCTGTACCCATGGGTGTGCCCTGTCCCTGTCCCCACTCAGGTGTCCCCTCGTGTCCCCAGGTGACCCCGTGGCCGCTGTCCGTCTGTCCACGCGGCTGCTGGCCCTGGGGGACGTGGGCTGTCCCTGTCCCGATGGGTGATGTCCCCTGTCCCCAGGTGACCCTGCAGCTGCTGTCCGTCTGTCCACGCGGCTGCTGGCTCTGAGGGACGTGGGGCTGTCCCTGTCCCTGTCCCTGTCCCTGTCCCCATGGGTGCTGTCCCTGTCCCCATGGGTGATGTCCCCTCTGTCCCCAGGTGACCCTGCAGCCGCTGTCCGTCTGTCCACGCGGCTGCTGGCTCTGGGGGGGGACGTGGGGCTGACCCTGTCCCTGTCCCTGTCCCCATGGGTGGTGTCCCTGTCCCTGTCCCTGTCCCCATGGGTGATGTCCCCCTGTCCCCAGGTGACCCTGCAGCCGCTGTCCGTCTGTCCACGCGGCTGCTGGCTCTGGGGGGGGACGTGGGGCTGTCCCTGTCCCTGTCCCTGTCCCTGTCCCCATGGGTGCTGTCCCTGTCCCCATGGGTGATGTCCCTCTGTCCCCAGGTGACCCCGCGGCCTCTGGCTCTGGGGGGGGACGTGGGGCTGTCCCTGTCCCCATGGGTGTGTCCCTGTCCCTGTCCCTGTCCCTGTCCCTGTCCCCATGGGTGATGTCCCCCTGTCCCCAGGTGACCCTGCAGCTGCTGTCCGTCTGTCCACGCGGCTGCTGGCGCTGGGGGGGGACGTGGGGCTGTCCCTGTCCCCATGGGTGCTGTCCCTGTCCCCATGGGTGATGTCCCCCTGTCCCCAGGTGACCCTGCAGCTGCTGTCCGTCTGTCCACGCGGCTGCTGGCGCTGGGGGGGGACGTGGGGCTGTCCCTGTCCCCACTCAGGGTGTCCCTGTCCCTGTCCCCACTCAGGGTGTCCCCCTGTCCCCAGGTGACCCTGCAGCTGCTGTCCGTCTGTCCACGCGGCTGCTGGCTCTGGGGGGGGACGTGGGGCTGTCCCTGTCCCCATGGGTGGTGTCCCTGTCCCTGTCCCTGTCCCTGTCCCCATGGGTGGTGTCCCTGTCCCCATGGGTGATGTCCCTCTGTCCCCAGGTGACCCTGCAGCCGCTGTCCGTCTGTCCACGCGGCTGCTGGCGCTGGGGGGGGACGTGGGGCTGCGCAGCCGCTGGACCCACATGAACGCCCTGCACTACGCCGCCTACTTCGACGTGCCCGAGCTCATCCGCACCCTCCTGCGCGCAGCGGGGCCCCGCGGTGAGGGGGGCACCCACGGGGAAACTCAGGGTGGGGGCACCCATGGTGGGGGGAACTCGGGGGGCACCCACGGGGAAACTCGAGGGGGCACCCACAGGGGGAAACTCAGGGTAGGGGGCACTCACGGGAGGGGAAACTCGGGGGTGGGGGCACTCATGGGAGGGGAAACTCGGGGGTGGGGGCACTCATGGGGGAAACTCGGGGGTGGGACACCCACGGAGGGAGGGAGATGTGGGGAGGCACCCACAGTGGGGAAACTCGGGGGAGGGGCACTCACGGGGAAACTCGGGGGTGGGACACCCACGGTGGGGAGATGTGAGGGGGCACTCATGGGGGAAACTCGGGGTGGGACACCCACTGGGGAGATGTAGGGGGCACCCACGGGGGAACTCGGGTGGGGGGCCACTCACGGGGGAACTCGGGGGGACACCCATGGAGGGGGAGATGTGGGGGCACTCATGGGGGGAAACTCGGGGTGGGACACCCACGGAGGGGGAATGTGGGGGCACCCACAGTGGGGGAGCTCGTGAGGAGGGGCACCTCGGTGTGGGAGGGGCGGCACCCACGTGGGGGAAACTCGGGGTGGGTGGGGGCACCCACGGCGTGGGGGATCGTGGAGGAAGGGCACCTTGATGTGGGGGGCACCCACAGTGGGGGAACTCGGGGTGGGTGGGGCACCCACGGGAGAGGGAGATGTGGGGAGGCACCCATGGTGGGGGAACTCGGGGTGGAGGGGGCACCCACGGGAGGGGAGATGTGTAGGGGCACCCACGTGGGGAAACTCGGGGGCACCCACAGGAGGGGAGATGTGGGGGCACCCACAGTGGGAACTCGGGTGGGTGGGGCACCCACCGGGGGAGATGTGGGAAATCGGGGTGGGAGGGGGCACCCACGGGAGGGGGAGATGTGGGGGGCACCCATGGTGGGGGAACTCGGGGTGGGTGGGGGCACCCACGGTGGGGGAACTCAGGGTGGGTGGGGGCACCCACGGTGGGCGGGGCTCGTGAGGGAGGGGCACCTCGGTGTGGGGGCGACACCCACGTGGGGGAACTCGGGGTGGGTGGGGGCACCCACGGTGGGCGGGGCCTGTGAGGAGGGTGGGGGCACTTCCGCATTGGGAGGGGCGGTTACAGAGCCCTGGGGGCACCTCGGGTACTGGGAGGGCACCCTCGATATTGGGGGCACCCTGGTATTGGGGGCACCTCGGTACTGGGAGGGCACCTCGGTATTGGGGGGCGGGGCTACGCAGCCCTGGGGGCACCCCAGTATGGGGGTGGGGGCACCTAAAGGACCCTGGGGGGCACCCCGTTACTGGTGGTGGGCTGGGGGGACACCCACACACACCATGCCGTGCCTCAGTTTCCCTCCATGGGACCCCGCTGTGGCTCTGTGACCCACCTCCCGTGGTTTTGGGGTCCCCCCGTGTTTCTGTGACCCCCCCTCGTGGTTTTGGGGTTCCCCCCGTTTTTTTGGAGTCCCTCCCCCCCGCGGTTTTGGGGTCCCCCCCGGTGGTTTTGGTGTCCGTACCTCACTTTCCTTCTATGGTTCTGTAACCCCCCCGAGGCTCTGTGACCCTCCCGTGTTTTTGGGGTGTTCCCCCCGTGGTTTTGGGGTCTCATTTTCTCTCTTTCCCCCCCCCCGCAGTGCTGCACTCGACCTGCAGCGATTTCAGCCACGGCACCGCCCTGCACATCGCGGCCTCCAACCTGTGCCTGGGGGCCGTGCGCTGCCTCCTGGAGCACGGGGCGGACCCCGCCCTCAGGGTACAGGGTGGGAGGGGGCCAGGGGGCACGGGGGGTCAGGAGGGACCAGGGGGTCTGGGGGACACGGGGGTTGGGGCTTTGGGGAGTTGAAATGATGGGATGGGTGGGGATGGATGGGGATGGATGGGGGTGGGGCCGTGCGCTGCCTCCTGGAGCACAGGGCGGACCCCGCCCTCAGGGTACGGGGGCTGTTGGGGCCGAGGGGGCACAGGGGGTCGGGGGTTGGGGTTTGGGGGGTTTGGGGTTTGGAGTGATGGGATGGATGGGGATGGGTGGGGATGGGGCCGTGCGCTGCCTCCTGGAGCACGGGCGGACCCCGCCCTCAGGGTACGGTGGGGAGGGGGCTCTGGGGTCTGGGGGGACACGGGGGGTCGGGGGGACCAGGAGGTGATGGGGGGTTTGGGGGATGGCAGCGTTGGGGATTGGGTGGGATTGGGGTGTTGTGGGGACGGCAGGGGAGGTGATGGGGGTTGGGGTGTGAGGGAAGATTGGGAGGGATTGGGGGGTCCAGGGTGGGGGCTGTGGCCTGAGGGAGTGTTAGGGTCCCAAGGGGACACTGGGGCTTTGGGAAGGCACTGGGAGGGATTGGGGGGTCCTGGGGAGTGTTTGGGTCCTGAGGGGGCCAATGGGACTTTGGGAAGGGGTTGGGGGTCCTGTGGGGGGTACTGGGGTCCCGAGGGGGCCAATGGGACTTTGGGAAGGGGTTGGGGGGTCCTGAGAGGGTGTTGGGGTCCCGAGGGGGACACTGTGACCATTACAAGGCACTGGGAGGGACTGGGGGGTCCTTGGGGAGTGTTGGGGTCCTGAGGGGACCAATGGGACTTTGGGAAGGGGTGGGGGTCCTGAGAGGGTGTTGGGGTCCTGAGGGGGCCAATAGGACTTTGGGAAGGGATTGGGGGGTCCTGAGGAGGGTGTTGGGGTCCTGAGGGGGCCAATGGGACTTTGGGAAGGGATTGGGGGGTCCTGGGGAGGGTGTTGGGGTCCTGAGGGGGCCAGTGGGACTTTGGAAGGGGATGGGAGGGATTGGGGTGTCCTGAGGGGGCTTTGGGGTCCTGAGGGGGCCAATGGGACTTTGCGAAGGGGTTGAGGGGTCCTGGGGAGGGTGTTGGGGTCCCGAGGGGGTACTCGGGCTTTGGGAAGGGACTGGGAGGGATTGGGGTGTCCTGAGGGGGCTTTGGGGTCCTGAGGGGGCCAATGGGACTTTGGGAAGGGGTTGGGGGGTCCTTGGGGAGTGTTTGGATCCTGAGGGGACCAATGGGACTTTGGGAAGGGATTGGGGGGTCCTGGGAGGGTGTTGGGGTCCTGAGGGGGCCAGTGGGACTTTGGGAGGGAATTGGGGGTCCTGGGGAGGGTGTTGGGGTCCTGAGGGGGCCAGTGGGACTTTGGGAAGGGATTGGGGGTCCTGGGAGGGTGTTGGGGTCCTGAGGGGGCCAATGGGACTTTGGGAAGGGATTGGGGGTCCTGGGGAGGGTGTTGGGGTCCTGAGGGGGCCAGTGGGACTTTGGGAGGATTGGGGTCCTGGGGAGGGTGTTGGGGTCCTGAGGGGGCCAATGGGACTTGGGAAGGGATTGGGGGTCCTGGGGAGGTGTTGGGGTCCTGAGGGGCCAGTGGGACTTTGGGAAGGGATTGGGGTGTCCTGAGGAGGGTGTTGGGGTCCTGAGGGGGCCAATGGGACTTTGGGAAGTGGTTGGGGGTCCTGGTGTCACAGTGTGGGGGTTATCCCGAGTTGGGGGGGCTGTTGGTACCTCAGCCCCAACTCCACACACCGAGCCTGCCGTGGGGTCCCCCTGCGTGCGTGCCCCCACCCCCAACACCCCCAAAGCGTGTCCCCCGCCCCCAGAACAGCAAGGGGCAGGTGGCGGCCGAGGTGGTCCCGGACCCCACGGACATGGCCCTGGACCGGGCGGAGGCGGCGGAGGCGGCGCGGGAGCTGCGGCGGCTGCTGCTGGACGCGGTGCCCCTGAGCTGCAGCCTCCCCCGCGTCACCCTGCCCAACTACGACAACCTGCCCGGCACCCTCATGCTGCTCTGCCTCGGCCTGCAGCTGGGGGACAGGGTGCGCCTGGACAGCGGCAAGGTGGGCACTGACACCCCCTGTGTCACCCCTGTGTCACCCCTGTGTCACCCCCTGTCACCCTGTGTCACCCTGCAGTCACACCCTGTGTCACCCCTGCATCACCCTCAACACTCCCTCGTGGGTCACCCCTGTGTCACCCCTGTCACCCCCTGTCACCCCTGTGTCACCCCTGTGTCACCCCTGTCACCCTGTGTCACCCCCTGTGTCACCTGAGTCACCCCAAACCCCCCCGTGTCCCCCTCATGCTGCTGTGCCTCGGCCTGCAGCTGGGGGACAGGGTGCGCCTGGACAGCGGCAAGGTGGGCACTGACACCCCTGTGTCATCCCTGTCACCCCTGTGTCACCCCTGTCACCCTGTGTCACCCCTGTGTCACCCCTGTCACCCCAACCCACACCTGTCCGTCACCCTCATGCTGCTGTGCCTCGGCCTGCAGCTGGGGGACAGGGTGCGCCTGGACAGCGGCAAGGTGGGCACCCTAAAACCCCCCTGTCACCCCTGTGTCACCCCTGTCACCCCCTGTCACCCCCTGTGTCACCCCCTGTGTCACCCCTGTGTCACCCCAAACCCCCCTGTGTCCCCCTCATGCTGCTGTGCCTCGGCCTGCAGCTGGGGGACAGGGTGCGCCTGGACAGCGGCAAGGTGTGGCACCCTAAGTCACCCCCTGTCACCCCTGTGTCACCCCTGTCACCCTGTGTCACCCCCTGTGTCACCCTGTGTCACCCTGCCCAACTACGACAACCTGCCCGGCACCCTCATGCTGCTGTGCCTCGGCCTGCAGCTGGGGGACAGGGTGCGCCTGGACAGCGGCAAGGTGGGCACCCCAAACCCCCCCTGTGTCACCCCTGTGTCACCCTGTGTCACCCTGTGTCCCCCTCATGCTGCTCTGCCTTGGCCTGCAGCTGGGGGACAGGGTGCGCCTCGACAGCGGCAAGGTGGGCATGGATACCCCTGTGTCACCCCTGTGTCACCCCTGTGTCACCCTGTGTCACCCCTGTATCACCCTGTGTCACCCCTGTCACCCCAGAGCCCCCCTGTGTCACCCCTGTGTCACCCCTGTCACCCTGTGTCACCCCTGTGTCACCCCAAACCCCCCCGTGTCACCCTCATGCTGCTGTGCCTCGGCCTGCAGCTGGGGGACAGGGTGCGCCTGGACAGCGGCAAGGTGGGCACTGACACCCCTGTGTCACCCTGTGTCACCCTGTGTCACCCCTGTCACACCTGTGTCACCCCTGTGTCACCCCTGTGTCACCCCTGTGTCACCCCCCATCACCCCAAACTCCCCTGTGTCACCCCTGTGTCACCCTGTGTCACCCCTGTGTCACCCTGTGTCACCTCAGAGCCCCCCATATCACCTTGTGTCACCCCAAACCCCCGTGTCACCCTCATGCTGCTGTGCCTCGGCCTGCAGCTGGGGACAGGGTGCGCCTGGACAGCGGCAAGGTGGGCACCCCAAACCCCCCTGTGTCACCCCTGTGTCACCCCCTGTCACCCCTGTGTCACCCTGTGTCACCTCAGAGCCCCCCATATCACCCTGTGTCACCCCAAACCCCCCTGTGTCCCCCTCATGCTGCTGTGCCTCGGCCTGCAGCTGGGGGACAGGGTGCGCCTGGACAGCGGCAAGGTGGGCACCCCAAACCCCCCCTGTCACCCCTGTGTCACCCCTGTCACCCCTAGTCACCCCTGTGTCACCCTGTAACACCCCTGTGTCACCCTCATGCTGCTGTGCCTCGGCCTGCAGCTGGGGGACAGGGTGCGCCTGGACAGCGGCAAGGTGGGCACCCCAAACCCCCCCTGTGTCACCCCTGTGTCACCCCTGTCACCCTGTGTCACCCTGTGTCACCCCTGTGTCACACCTGTGTCACCCCTGTGTCACCCCCCATCACCCCAAACTCCCCTGTGTCACCCCTGTGTCACCCCTGTCACCCCCTGTCACCCCTGTGTCACCCCTGTGTCACCCCTGTGTCCCCCCTGTGTCCCCCCTGTCACCCTGTGTCACCCCTGTGTCACCCCCTGTGTCACCCCTGTGTCACCCCTGTCACCCCCTGTGTCACCCCTGTGTCACCCCTGTGTACCCTGTGTCACCCCTGTCACCCCTGTGTCACCCCTGTGTCACCCCTGTGTCACCCCTGTGTCACCCCTGTCACCCCCTGTGTCACCCCCTGTGCCACCCCTGTGTCACCCCTGTGTCACCCCTGTGTCACCCCTGTCACCCCCTGTGTCACCCCTGTGTCACCCCTGTCACCCCCCTGTGTCACCCCTGTGCCACCCCCTGTGTCACCCTGTGTCACCCCTGTGCTCTGCCTCAGTAGCCCCCCTGTGTCATCCCTGTCACCCCTGTCACCCTGTGTCACCTCCTGTGTCACTCCCCATCACCCCAAACTCCCCTGTGTCACCCCAAACCCCCCTGTGTCACCCTTTGCCAGCAGGCAGTGGGGGTTTGGGGGTTTAGGGGGTTATTTTGGGGTTCAGGGTGTTATTTAAGGGTTCAGGGAGGTTATTTGGGGTGGGGGTGACCCTGCTGTGCCCCCCCAGGTGGGCACGCTGAGGTTCTGTGGCACCACGGCCTTTGCCAGCGGGCAGGGGGGGTTTGGGAGGGTATTTGGGGTTATTTTGGGGTTCATGGGGGTTATTTGGGGTGGGGGTGACCCGCTGTGCCCTCTCCAGGTGGGCACACTGCGGTTCTGCGGCACCACGGCCTTTGCCAGCGGGCAGGGGGTTTGGGGGTTATTTGGGGTTTGGGGATTATTTGGGGTTGGGGTTTATTTGGGGGTTCAGGGGTTATTTAGGGGTTCAGGGGGTTATTTTGGGGTGGGGGTGACCCTGCTGTGCCCTCCCAGGTGGGCACGCTGCGGTTCTGCGGCACCACGGCCTTTGCCAGTGGGCAGTGGGGGTTTGGGGGTTATTTGGGGTTTGGGGGTTTATTTGGGGGTTCAGGGGTTATTTGGGGGTTATTTTGGGGTGGGGGTGACCCTCTGTGCCCCCAGGTGGGCACGCTGCGGTTCTGCGGCACCACGGCCTTTGCCAGCGGGCAGTGGGGGTTTGGGGGTATTTGGGGGTATTTTGGGGTTCATGGGGGTTATTTTGGGGTGGGGTGACCCCTGCTGCCCCTCCCCAGGTGGGCACGATGCGATCCTCCGGCACCACGGCCTTTGCCAGCGGGCAGGGTTTAGAGTATTTGGGGGTTTAGGGACATTTTGGGGTTCATGGGGGGTTATTTTGGGGTGGGGGTGACCCTCTGTGCCCCCCAGGTGGGCACTCTGAGGTTCTGTGGCACCATGGCCTTGCCAGCGGGGCACAGGGGGTTTGGGTAGTTTGGGGGTTTATTTGGGGTTTGGGGGTTTAGGGGTTATTTTGGGCGCTATGGGGGTTATTTTGGGGTGGGGTGACCTCGCTGTGCCCCCAGGCGAGCGCGCTGGTGGTTCTCTGCGGCACCACGGCCTCTGCCAGCGAGCGGGGGTTGGGGTTTGAGGTTTTGGGGTTTGGGGATTATTTGGGGGTATTTTGGGGTTCAGGGGGTTATTTTGGGGTGGGGTGACCTCGCTGTGCCCCCCAGGTGGGCACGCTGCAGTCTGCGGCACCACGGCCCTTGCCAGCGGGCAGGGGGTTTGGGGGCATTTGGGGGTATTTTTGGGGTTCATGGGGGGTTATTTTGGGGGTGGGGTGACTCCTCTGTGCCCCCCCAAGGTAGGGCACTCTGAGGTTCTGCTGGCACCACTGCCTTTGCCAGCGGGCAGGGGGTTTGGGGTTTGGGGGTTATTTGGGGTTTGGGGTTTAGGGGTTATTTGGGGTTCAGGGGGTTATTTTGGGGTGGGGGTGACCCTGCTGTGCCTCCCAGGTGGGCACGCTGAGGTTCTGCGACACCACGGCCTTTGCCAGTGGGCACGGGGGGTTTGGGGGTATTTGGGGGTTATTTTGGGGTTCAGGGGTGTTATTTGGGGTTCAGGGGTTATTTTGGGGTGGGGTGACCCCTCTGTGCCTCTCAGGTGGGCACACTGCGGTTCTGCGGCACCACGGCCTTTGCCAGCGGGCAGGGGGGTTGGGGGTGTTATTTGGGGTTTGGGGTTTATTTGGGGTTCATGGGGTTATTTGGGGTTATTTGGGGTGGGGGTGACCCTGCTGTGCCTCCCAGGTGGGCACGCTGCGGTTCTATGGCACCACGGCCTTTGCCAGCGGGCAGTGGGCGGGGTGGAGCTGGACGAGCCTGAGGGGAAGAACGACGGCAGCGTGGGGGTCCGGTACTTCATCTGCCCCCAAACGGGTACGGACTCCCGGGGACCCCGGAACCTGGGATGGGGGGATCTGGTACTTCATCTGCCCCCAAACAGGGTATGGGACCCCCAACCCCGGGGAGGGAGCCTGGGAGGGGGTCCGGTACTTCATCTGCCCCCACAAACAGGGTACGGGACCCCCAAACCCTCGGGGGGGGAGGCTGGATGGGGGGTCCGGTACTTCATCTGCCCCCAAACAGGTGTATGGACTCCTCTAACCCCGGGGGCAGGGCTGGTGGGGGTCCGGTACTTCATCTGCCCCCAAACAGGGTATGGACTCCCAACCCCGGGGGCAGGGGCTGGGTGGGGGTCCGAGTACTTCATCTGCCCCCCAAACAGGGCATATGGACCCCCAGCCCCCGGGGAGGCAGGAGCTGGGGTGGGGGGCCTTTGGGACCCCTGGGGTGGGGGTGTGTCCTGATCTGGGTTCCTCTTGGGGTTGGGGGTCCTTTGGGACCCCTGGGGGTGGGATGGGTCCTAATCTGGGTCCTTCTTGGGTTGGGGGACCTTTGGGACCCTCGGGGTGGGTGGGGGTGGACTGGGACCCTCTTGGGGTGGGGGACACTCGGGGGTGGCCTGATCTGGGTCTCTGGGGGTGGGGGGACCTTTGGACCCCAGGGGTGGTGGGGGTGGACTGGGACCCTCTGGGGGTGGGGGACCTCATGGGGCAGGGCTGGGCCCTCCAGGGGTGGGGGACCCTTGGGACCCTCTGGGGTGGGTAGGGGTGGGACTGGGACCTCTTGGGGTGGGGGAACACTCAGGGGTCCTGATCTGGGTCCTCTGGGAGGTGGGGGACTGGTTCCATACTGGTTCATACTGGTTTGTCCTGCTCTATACTGGTCCGTACTGGTCCATACTGGTCCGTACTGGTCTGACCCCCCTCCCCACAGGCATCTTCGCCTCGGTCTCCAAGATCTCCAAGGCTGAGGAGCAGCCCCCGCCCCCTCCCCCTCCCAGCCCCCGGGACCCCCGGCCCAGCGCCCCCACAAGGCCCAGAAGGACAAGAGGTACAGACACCCTCCTCCCCCAGTGCCAGGGACCCCCAACCCTCCCCTGGGGGATCCTCCCTGGGAAGGGGCGGGGTCACTTTGGGGGTGGGGTCTGGTGGGGTGGACCCTGAGTGACCACGCCCTTCACCAGAAGGTGGGTCGGGGGCGTGGCGTGACTGGGTGGGGAGGGGGCGTGGCAAGGTGAGAGGGGCGTGGCCTGTCTGACCCCGCCCTCTCAGTTTAAATTATGTGGGAAATGGGGGTGAATGGGGCGGGGTCTGATGGGGCTGTGGGAGGGGCGTGGCAGGGGCATGCCCAGGGCGTGGATGGGCGTGGCTATGCGAGAGGGGCGTGGCCAATCTGACCCCACCCCCCTCGGGTTAATAAGGGTGGGAAATGGGGGTGAATGGGGCGGGGTCTGATGGGGTCATGAGTGGGCGTGTCCGGGCGTGGATGGGCGTGGCTATGCGAGAGGGGCGTGGCCAATCTGACCCCCCCCCTCCTGTTAATAAGGGTGGGAAATGGGGGTGAATGGGGCGGGGTCTGATGGGGGCTGTGGGAGGGGCGTGGGCGGGGCATGGGTGGGCGTGCCGGCGCTGACCCCTCCCCGCAGCGTCCCGCAAGCGGGGCGGGGCGTGGCTGGACCGGGAGGGCCGCCGGGTGGCCCCGGGGGACGCGGTGCTGGTGGCCGGACAGCGCCCGGGCAGGGCCCGCTTCTACGGACGCACCGACTTCGCCCCCGGTGAGAGACCCCCTTCACCCCCGGGACCCTCCCACTCCAACCCCACCCAACCTGGGCTGGGACCTCAGGACCGCTCCATGGGGTGGGACCCCTCGAGACCCCCCATGGGGTGAGATCCCCGAGACACCCCATGGGGTGAAACCCTCCCTGAGAACCCGCCATGGGGTGGGACCCTCTGAGACCCCCATGGGGTGGGACTCCTCCCGAGACGCCCCTATGGGCTCTGTGAAACCCCCCATGAGACCCCCATGGGCTGGGACCCCCTGAGACCCCCCATGTGGGTGGGACCCCCGAGAGCACCCCATGGGGTTGGGACCACCTCTGAGATCACCCCATGGGGTGAGGACCCCCTGAGACCCCCCATGGGGTGGGACTCCCAAGACGCCCTCATGGGCTCTTCTGAGACCCCCATGGGAACCCCTGGGCTGGGACCCCCCTGAGACCCCCATGGGGTAGGACCCCCTGAGACCCCCCAGTGGGACTCCCCAAGACCCCCATGGGCTCTTCGAGACCCCCCATGGGAACCCCCTGGGCTGGGACCCCCTTAAGACACCCCCTAAGACCTCCCCATGGGAACCCCTGGGCTGGGACCCCTGCATGGGACCCCCTGAGTCACCCAGAGCCTCAATCACCCCAGGTTACCTCAGATCCCCTAAGAACCCCCAGCTCCCCAGAGATCCCCCAAAGCCCCCAGATCTCCCCAGATCACCCCAGGGCCCCCAGCTGTCCCCCAAAGCCCCCAGATCCCCCAAAGCCCTCAGATCCCCCAGATCATCCCCCCAAGATCACCCCAGGGCCCCCAGACTGTCCCCCAAAGCCCCCAGATCCCCCAAAGCCCCTCAGATCTCCCCCAGATCACCCCAGGGCCCCCAAGCTGTCCCCAAAGCCCCCAGATCCCCCAAAGCCCCTCAGATCCCCCAAAACCCCCAGATCTCCCCAGATCATCCCAGGGCCCCCAACTGTCCCCCAAAGCCCCCAGATCCCCCAAAGCCCCTCAGATCTCCCCCAAATCACCCCAGGGCCCCCAACTGTCCCCCAAAGCCCCCAGATCCCCCCAAGCCCCCAGATCCCCCAAAGCCCCTCAGATCCCCCAAAGCCCCCAGATCTCCCCCAAATCACCCCAGGGCCCCCAACTGTCCCCCAAAGCCCCCAGATCCCCCAAAGCCCCCAGATCTCCCCCAAAGCCCCTCAGATCTCCCCCAGATCACCCCAGGGCCCCCTCAGCTGTCCCCAAAGCCCCCAGATCCCCCAAAGCCCCTCAGATCTCCCCCAAATCACCCCAGGGCCCCTCAGCTGTCCCCCAAAGCCCCCAGATCCCCCAAAGCCCCCAGATCCCCCAAAGCCCCCCTCAGATCCTCCCCCAAAGCCCCTCAGATCTCCCCAGATCACCCCAGGGCCCCCAGCTGTCCCCAAAGCCCCTCAGATCCCCCAAAGCCCCTCAGATCTCCCCAAATCACCCCAGGGCCCCCAGCTGTCCCTCAAAGCCCCCAGATCCCCCAAAGCCCCCAGATCCCCCAAAGCCCCCAGATCCTCCCAAAGCCCCCAGATCTCCCCCAGATCACCCCAGGGCCCCCTCAACTGTCCCCCAAAGCCCCCAGATCCCCCAAAGCCCCTCAGATCTCCCCAAAGCCCTCAGATCTCCCCAGATCACCCCAGGGCCCCCAATGTCCCAAGCTCAGATCCCCCAAAGCCCCCCAGATCCCCCAAAGCCCCTCAGATCTCCCCAAATCACCCCAGGGCCCCCAGCTGTCCCCAAAGCCCCCAGATCCCCCAAAGCCCCTCAGATCTCCCCAGATCACCCCAGGGCCCCCTCAACTGTCCCCCAAAGCCCCAGATCCCCAAAGCCCCAGATCCCTCCCCCATGTCCCCCACCATCCCAATGCCCCCAGTGCCCCCCATGTCCCCCATCCCAGTGCCCCCTGACCCCCCTGTTGCCCCCAGGGTACTGGTTCGAGGTGGAGTTGGACTCTGCGGGGGCAAACACGGCAGCTCCGTTTTGGGGTCCGATATTTCACCTGCCCCCCCAAACACGGCGTCTTCGCCCCCCTCCCGCGTCCAGAGGTGCAGGGGGGACACGGGGGACATTTTGGGAGTACCAGGGTGGGGGACACAGGGGGGACATTGAGGGGCACCAGGGTGAGGGGACATTTTGGGGGCACCAGGGTGGGGGGGACACGAGAGGACATTTTGGGGTACCAGGGTGGGGGGACACGAGGACATTTGGGGGCACCAGGGTGGGGGGACATTTTGAGAGTACCAGGGGTGGGGGGACACGAGGAGGACATTTTGGGGGCACCAGGGTGGGGGGACATTTAGGGGCACCAGGGTGAGAGGGGACACGGGGGACATTTTGGGGTACCAGGGTGGGGGGACACAGGGGGGACATTTGGGGGCACCAGAGGAGTGGGGGGACACAGAGGAGGGGACATTTGGGGGACACCGGGAGTGGGGGGACATGAGGGGGACATTTGGGAGTACCAGAGTGGGAGGACATTTTGAGGGGACACCAGAGAGGGGGGACATTTGGGAGGCACCAGGGTAGGGGACACGGGAGGACATTTGGGGGCACCAGGAGTGGGAGGACACTTTGAGGGCACCAGAGTGGGGGGACATGAGGGACATTGGGGCACCAGGAGTGGGAGGGACACTGGAGGCACCAGAGGTGAGGGGGGACATGTTGGGGGCACCAGGAGTGAGGGGGACACGAGAGAGGACATTTGGGGGCACCAGAGTGGGGGACACAGGGAGGGGACATGAGAGGACACAGGGTGGGGGACACGGGGGGACATTTTGGGGTACCAGGGATGGGGGACATTTAGGGGGCACCGAGCACGAATGGAGGACGTTGGGGGGGACATGAGGGACACGAGAGGAGATGAGGGAGATGTTTAGGGGCACCAGGGTGAGGGGGCAAAGAGGGGACACAGGGGGACAAGGGAGGACATGGAGAGGCACAGAGATGGGAGGACATAGGGAGGACACGAGGGGACATGGGGGGGCACAGGGATGAGGGACACAGGAGGGACATGGGGGACATGGGAGGACATGGAGGGAGGGACATGAGGGGGACATGAGGGGACATGGAGGGCACAGGGAGAGAGGGAACATGAGGGACATGGAGGCACAGGACGAGAGGACAGGGGGGACATGAGGGAGCACAGAGGACATGGAGGGGACAAGACGTGGGGACATAGGGGACATGAGGGGACATGGGGGACATGGGAGCACAGGGGACATGGGAGGACGTGAGGGAGACACGCAAGGGACATGAGGGACAAGAGGGACATGGCAGAGGACATAGGGGCTAGGGACATTGGAGGGGACATGGGGGACACAGGGACATGGGGGGACACAGGGACATGGCATGGGGGACACGGGGAGGACACAGGGACATGGGAGGGACATGGGGGGACATTTGGGGAGCCCACAGGGGTGAGGACATGAGGGGACATGGGGGGCACAGGGACATGGAGGGGACATAGGGGTACATGGGGGGACACAGGGACGTGGAGGGGACATGGGGGGACATGTGGGGACAAGGTGGGGACACGCTGGGGACAGGGGGACCAGGGAGGGGACACTGGGGTGACCCCCCTGTCCCTTTTCCCCCCCCCAGGGTCGGGGGTCCCAAGGAGGAGTCGGGGGACGCGACCCCTGAGAAGAAAGGGCAGCAGGTCACAGGTGAGGGGGCGGGGCCGGCGCTGCTGATTGGCTGATGGGTGGGATAGGATGCTGCTGATTGGCCAATGGGTGGGATGGGGTGCTTGCTGATTGGCTGATGGAGTGGAGGGCTCCTGCTGATTGGCCAGCAGAACCAGACACAGCTGATTGGCCAGCAGGCCAGGGCAGGGCACTGCTGATTGGCCAGTTTGCCCCAGGAGCTCTCCCCACCACTGATTGGCTGTTGGGCAGCACATGGCTGTGTTGATTGGCCAGTTTGCCACAAGAGGATCTCCTCACCACTGATTGGCTGCTGGGCAGGGCAGGGCGCTGCTGATTGGCCAGTTTACCACGAGAGGATTCCCTCACCACTGATTGGTTGCTGGGCAGGGCAGGCTGCTACTGATTGGCCAATTTGCCCCAGGAGCTCTCCCTCCCATTGATTGGCTGCTGGGCAGCACAGGTCGCTGCTGATTGGCCAGTTTACCACGAGAGGATCCCCTCACCACTGATTGGCTGCTGGGCAGGACAGGGCGCTGCTGATTGGCCAGTTTGCCTCAGGAGCTCTCCCTGCCACTGATTGGGCAGGCAGGGCGCTGCTGATTGGCCCGTTTACCACAAGAGGATCCCCTCACCACTGATTGGCTGTTGGGCAGCACAGGGCGTTGCTGATTGGCCAGTTTACCACGAGAGGATCCCCTCACCACTGATTGGCTGCTGGGCAGGGCAGGCCGCTGCTGATTGGCTGGTGCGGGGCATGTGATGTAACCATGTGTCACCCCTGGTGTGTCCCCTCCCCTGGTGTGCCCCATCCCCCATGTCCCTCCTCCCCTGTGTCCCGCAGTGTCCCAGCCCAAGCGCAACTTCCCGGCCGTGCGGACCCCAAGGACATCACGTCCGAGAGCTCCTTCTCCAGGTGGGGACAGCGCGGGGACACCGGGGACACCGGGACACTGAGGGGACACTGGGGGACACTGGACACCGGGAGGACACTGGGGACACTGGGGGACACTGGGACAGTGGGGGGACAGTGGGGGGACACTGGGACAGTGGGGGACACTGGGGACACCAGGGGACACCGGGGGACACTGGGACAGTGGGGGACATAGGGAGTGCGGAGACACAGGGGACAGTGGGGAGGACACCGGGGGGACACTGGGGACACTGAGGGGGACACTGGGGGACACTGGGACACTGGGGGACAGTGGGACACCGAGGGGGACACCGGGGGACAGGGGGACAGTGGAGGGACACTGGGGGACACTGGGACACCGGGGGACACTGGGGGGACAGTGGGACAGTAGAGGACACTAGGGAGACACTGGGACAGTAGGGAGACACGAGAGGAGACACTGAGGGACACCGAGAGGGACACTAGAGAGACACCACGAGGGACACTAGAGAACACTGAGGGACACTGGGAGACACTAGAGAGAGACACTGGGAGACACTGGGGGACACAGGGACAATGAGAGGACACTGAGGGGACACTGAGACAGTAGAGGGACACTGAGGACACTGGGGGACACCAGGGGGACACCGGGGACACTGAGACAGTGAGGGAGACATGGGGAGGTGGGGACACAGGGACAATAGGGGGGACATGGGGGACAATGGGAGGCACCGGGGGGATATCAGGGGACAATGGAGGGACACCAGGGGACATCAGAGGAGAGATCAGGGACGGTGGGGGGACATCAGGACAGTGAGAGAGGGACAATGGGGGGACACTAGGGGAACACACCGGGACAGTGAGGGACACCAGAGGGAACACACCGAGACACTGGGGGGAGACACCAGAGGGACAATGGGGGACACTGGGACAGTGGGGGGACATAGGGAGGCTCAATGGGGGGCAATGGGGGGCCATCGGGAAGGGACACACACTGGAGGACAATGGGGGACACTGGGGGACAGGGGGAGACCGGGACAGTGGGAGGGACATCAGGACAGTGGGGGGACACTGTGGGGACAATGAGGGGGACACTGGGGGACAATGGAGGGACAATGGGGGGGACATCGGGAAGGGACACACTGGGACAGTGGGGGGGACACTGGGGGGACAGTAGGGGGGACATGGGGGACACAGGGACAATGGGGGAAACCAGGGGACGATGGGGGGACATCGAGGGGCAAAGGAGGACACAGGGACAATGGGGACAATGTCCTAGGGGGACAATGTGGGGACATTGGAGGTGGGGGATAGTGGGGGACATTGAGGGGGAGGGGATCACTGGGACAATCAGGGGGACACGGGGGGACAATGGGGGGACATTGGGGAGTCCCTGGGACAATGGGGAGGACAATGGAGGGACAAGGTGGGGGGCACTGGGAGGACAATGGGGGGGACATCAGGGGACAATGGGGGACACCTGGGTGTACACTGGGTCACTAGGGAGGACAATGTTCCGACACTGGGACAGTGGAGTGTCATCCCAGGGACATTGGTGACCACCGTGGGGGTCAGGGGGTGTCCCTGGGACAGTGGGGCCACATCCCCTGTCCCCAGGGGGTGTCAATAAGGGGACCTCATGGGGAGTGTCCACTGTCCCTCTGTCCCAGGGGTGTCCCCAGCTGTCCCCTGTCCTCAGGGGGTGTCCCCAGGGGGGTGTCCCTGTCCCCAGGGGTGTCCCCAGGGGCTGTCCCCCTGTCCCCAGGGGTGTCCCCAGCTGTCCCCTGTCCCCAGGGGGTGTCCCTGTCCCCAGGGGTGTCCCCACCTGTCCCCTGTCCCCAGGGGGTGTCCCCACCTGTCCCCAGGGGTGTCCCCACCTGTCCCCTGTCCCCAGGGGGTGTCCCCAGGGGGTGTCCCTGTCCCCCAGGGGTGTGTCCCTTGTCCCCAGGGGGTGTCCCCACCTGTCCCCAGGGAGTGTCCCCAGGGGGTGTCCCTACGGGGTGTCCCTGTCCCCAGGGGGTGTCCCCACCTGTCCCCAGGGGGTGTCCCCAGCTGTCCCCAGGGGTGTCCCCACCTGTCCCCTGTCCCCAGGGGTGTCCCCAGGGGGTGTCCCTTGTCCCCAAGGGGGGTGTCCCTTGTCCCCAGGGGTGTGTCCCCTGTCCCCAGGGGGTGTCCCTGTCCCCAGGGGGTGTCCCCTGTCCCCAGGGGTGTCCCCTGTCCCCCAGGGGGTGTCCCCTGTCCCCAGGGGTGTCCCTGTCCCCAGGGGGTGTCCCCTGTCCCCACCACCAATCCTGTCCCCAGAGTC